AGTGTATATAAAGAAAAATCTGCCTTGTAGAGAACTTCACAGCCCATGAAACATGGAGGGCAGAGGAAATCTTTTTGTCTGCCAGCCTCACTCCTCACCTGCTTCTAACTAATATTGAGTCTGGACAGGTATTGATTTTTCTGCTTTGCTCTGCCCATGCTCATCAGTCATTTTATATTACTGGAGAGTCCATTAGCAATAAAAATAAAGAATGGAAGTTACAAAGCCCATTAGGGAGACGTACTCTCAGCATCTTTGGGAGGAGAGAAACAATTAAAAGCACGTCATCTTATAAACATTCTAATAGAGTTATTAGAAGAGTGAATAAAGCCAGGATGTGATTATCAAGGGATGGACTGAAATCGTCTTTATTAGTCAGCCTGTATGTTCTTTGACATTGCAGTATGCGGTGAAATGGAAAGATTAGATACTAAAATAAATGATCATGGCTCAAAATTTAGCTGTGGGCTCATTGGTAAATGAATTTCGGAACTGTGGATATCAGGCCTAAGATAAGAGGAAGGTAATGTTTAACTATAAAAGAAAGATGCTAGCTTGAGAACTGAGGTAACTCAAAGTTTAGGGGAGACTTGCTGCAGCTAAGAAGATGTTCATTCAAATTCTCTTCATTCAATAAGGAGAATGGATCTAGAACATTCTGGAATATGATTCCGGTTGACTGAAGAAGGTGACTGATGTATAGGATCCTCAAGCTTCCTGGGTGCCAGGGAGTGACTCATAGCATTCCTGGTACATGTGAGTACTCAGAAAATATTAATTCCAAGCCAGATGCCAATGGCTCACCTACGTAAACCTAGCTGAGACCCAAAGGCTCAGAGTTCAAAGCCTGCCTGGGCAGAAAAGCCCATGAGACTCCATCTTCAATTGACCAGCAAAAAAAGCCGGACCAGCTGTGTGCTGGTGGCCTATACCTAGCTACTCAAGAGGTTGAGATATAAGGAATTGTGGTTCAAAACCAGCCGGGTAGGAAAGTCCATGGGACTCTTATCTCTAGTAAACTAACCCAAAGAAAGCCAAAATTAGAGCCCTGGCTCAAGTGGTAAAGTGTTATCCTTGAGGAAAACAGCTCAGGAACAGTGCCCAGGCCTTGAGTTAAATTCTCGGGGATGGTACAAAATTTTAAAAAACAACAGCAACAAAAAGCTGAGCTAGAGGTGTGGATATAGTGGTACAGCACTAATCAATCAAGTGGAGAGCCCTGAGTTCAAAACCCAGTACTGGCATAATAATAATTATCTTTCTCTCTTTCTCAGAGCTGTGGAGGGCAGAGACCATGAATTTTCAAAACGCACATTTGCAGTGAATATTATGCTGTATTTAACATAATTTTATTGTATTTTCAATACAAAATGAAATAGCTTTATACTAGGAACTCTTTTGACATATATTTTTCTTTGGATGGTCAGTGAGCTAAATTAAATTGTTTGATCCTCTTTGGTACAGAAAACAATAAATATTTTCACTAAACCCTAATAGGTAGCAAACTTCATGTTCTCTTTTTTTTTT